ACAATGTGGCCAACATTTTCCTCAATTTATCATTTGCCTTTTGATCTTAGTGCTTCAAACTTCAGAGGCTTAACAATTCTTTGGTTGAATCATCTCTGTTTTACCATATTTCCCTTATAGGTTTATTCTCTTTATCATTTTTCACTTGTTATCTCTCCCCTCCTCCTAAGAGAATATTTCAAGATAGTTTCCACTTTAATTTTCCAAAGTTACAGAACAATCTTCCATTGTTTCTAGATTTAATGTGATCCTTACTTCCTTGTAGTCTTCTCAGTCCGCCTCCCCATTGGATACAGCATATTTCTTTGCATTTTATTAGATCATCTCTTCACCTTAAGAAATTCTTCCCTCATCTCATGGAGGGCAAGTCTTTCTTCAACGCCCTGCATCAAAGAATGAGTTGTCTTTTAGGACATAAGTGCTTATTTTCTGCAATATTTTTGGTGCTTTCATCTTATGATAGAGTAACCGCTCTGCAAATCTGCCCATTTCCTAACACATAAAACTTTTGTTTTCCTATGTGGCAAAAAGAATTCTGTAGATGTCTTTAAGTTAAGGACCTTGTGATGGAGAGATTATCCTGGATTATCTGGGTGAGCTCCATATCATACAAAGGTTCTTACAAGAGGAAGACAAGAAGGCCAGAGGAGATGTGACAGTAGAAGCCAGAGAGAGATGTGAAGATGGCTGTGAAGATGGAAGAAGCATCTGTGAGTCAGGGAATGTAGGTAGACTCCAGAAGCTGAGCAAGACATGAAAACGCATTCCCTGAGACCCTGTAGGGGTGGAATATGGCTCCTCTGACACTTTGACTTTGGGACTTCTGACCTCCAGAACTGCAAGAGGAAACCTTTTTTGTTTGTTTGTGAAAGCCACTCAATCTCTGACAGTTTATTACAGCAGTTACAGAAAACCAACCCCTAGTTCATGTACAAGGCTTGTGAGATAGAGAGCTAGCCTAGACTGTCTAGGTAAGCCAGATCTGATCACTTGATCCCTTATAAACCTAGAAGTGTGCCTGGTTGAGGCAGGGAGATGCAAAAGAAAAGAGCAAAGGAGAAGGGAAACACAGGGGTAAGTGAGAGGGACAAACTCAACACATCATTATGGATTTAAAGATGGAGGAAGGAACCACAAGCCAGGGCATGCAGGCTGTACCTAGAAGCTGAGGCTGGATGGCCACTGGTTAGAGCCTGCAAGGAAACACACCTCATTCCTACAACCATAAGGAACTGAGCTCAACAACAACTGAAATGAGCCTGGAATTGAATCCTTTCCTAGACAAATAGGAAACAGAAGGATAGGGCCCTCTTGACTCCTTGATTTTGGCCCTGTGAAGCCCAGAGCAGCAAAACCAGCCAAACTCACTGAAATCACACCTAAAGCACTAATGTAGCAACATTATTTATTTATTTAATGTGACTACGTTTATGGTAACGAGTTATGACACTAATTGCAAATGAATCCATACCTTAGGTTGCAAAACTCAAACTGATTCACTCTCAGTGGGGTCTACTACCGGGTGATTTGTGAGTTAGTAATTCGGTGGCTTGATTACATGGTCAGGGATCTAAATTCTTCAACCCTTTTGTTCTGTTATTCTTGAGATGTTAGCCATCTCTGCCACAGGTCTCAAATGGCTGCAGCTACTCCATGAATCCCTTCCAGAAAAGGAAAAAGATTTTCTTCTTAATGCACCTCTTTTTAGGGGACTATTTAGTAGATAGTCCACCCCATTTCTCTAGTTTCATTAGAACAAACAGTAATCAATGCAGAACTAAATTTTCCCAGATGAAAAGATGTGTGGATTAGTCTGAGTCTAGTTTAGTGTCCATCACAATGAAAACATGAGTGTAATAATAATAATAATAATAATAATAATAATAATAATAATAATAATAAAGACTTGGAGATCAAGATTGAGCATTAACTGTTAAAAGTTTAACTCCAAAACAGGGACCTCCAATCAAGGGAAGAGCCTATGCTCTGGGAAACAAGATTTAGAAAGAAATGGGGTCATTGAAAGTCAGAAGACCATGAAGTGTCTCTGTTCCATATTAGGAAAGAAACATCTCAGATGCATAGTGAGCGGCACGGCATAGCTGAGCTGGAGGGTAAGCAAGCACTGGGCTGCCTGGAGATGGTGTACCATGCAGTGGGGATGCCTCTGCACTGTACCTGCGGCACCTACCTTGGTACTGAGGTATCCAGCTCACCGCTGCTGCATACTTGATGCACCCAGGTTGGGTCTGCACTGCTTGCTGACCAGGTTAGGATTTAGCAGTATGGGAAGAAAATTTGTCTTGGCCTTAGGAAATCTTCTGGCTAGAGAGAAAAAGGGAAAGAGGAGAAAAGAGGAGAGGAGGGGCAGGACTGGGAGAGAAGGTGAAAAAAAAAGTGTTTTAAATTAAATTTTGCAACTCATTTCTCCACTTAAAACCCTTTAATGCCCTACTAGTTAATACCAATTGTCATGTTTGCCCTTTGCCCAGTTTTATTCTGCTCTCCACCTAGATCTTACATGATTCTGGCAATCCTAACTGAATTGATTGAAGTGGTCTCCTTCTTTCTTGTCAGTGATTATTTCAGTAGTTGGCTTGCAACCCGGTTCCAGTCGATGAGATAGATCAGAAGATGATCTCAGGAGCTTGGCAGAGCCTAGCATGGCTTGCATTTTCCTGCACATTTGAGGCCCTGACAGCATTTCTGGCTTCCTCTGACACCTCTCATCCCTTCTATCTCTTGGTTGTGGCTACATTGAACTTTTTCAATTACTCCAAAGTTCTAAAGTCTCTTGATACTAGAATTTATTCATATTGTAGTCTCATTTTCTTCCTTTCCACCATACCCGGGCCCCCCTCCCCTCTCTCTGATTAAATGTTACTTCTTTCAAAAAGTCTTTCTTATCACCTAGGCTACCTCAGGTTGACATGTGTTTTCCCATTAGCGCCCTTTCCTACATGAATCCATTCAAAAAAATGTTAATTGCTTTTTTATTGTCGGTTTGTAAGCCTTCTCCACAGTGATAATCAGTGAACAAAGCCGACCTGGCTTTTGCCCTCATTACCGGTGAGGGTTCTCAGTGAATGTCTGTATTCCCAGCTGTACCCAAGATGTACAATCATACCCAATATTTAAATTGAACAGATTTTCAATAAGCACATAGAACAGCCGGCACAAGTGGGCAGACGTTCCAGTTCTCATTGCTGCTGAGTGGCTAGACTGATCCTTAGGATGGTGGGATTTGGGCACACTTTGGTAAGAAAAAAGACCTACTCTTTGGCAGGAGACATTAAAGGTAAAAGCTTCTCTTGAAGCATGTTTTGTGGATTCTTTCAGGTCATATGCTCTCTGTCCATCACAGGGGGTCTCTCCCCTGCTGTGTTTTTGGCATGGGCCATGACAGGTCTCAGCTTTTGAAATTCGGGTGGTACATCTTCTTGGGGAGTTTACTGACCCAATCAGGATCTGGCATGATCCAACATGACCCCTGGGCTATTTCTCTTATGCATAACCCACATCTGGTCTTGGTGAAACAGCTATTTTCTGCTCTTACCAATTAGCTCCCTAAATTGTCTGAGCCTTTTCCCCATGAAGTTTCTTACACAGCAGATTTCCAAAACAACATGACTTAGATACCAGTCCATTGTGTGTCCTAAGCCCCAGAGTTCACAAATCAAGCTCTTTAAGTTTCCCATTCAAGCCCCTTGCTCTTTGTGACAAGAACAGCCCACTCTGGCTGTTGGACCCCTGCCCGCATCCCTTTCACTAAATGGGTTCACCCATATCCCAGTTGCTGTTATCGGCTGCTAACCACTCTTCTACCTTCTCCAATGAGGCCCCACTTGTAGGATGGGCCTCTCATGTCCCACATCAGCCAGTGGCCAATGACTTACTGACATGGGACCCAAAAGGCCAGACCCCCTATTTCAAAGTGAGATCACAGTGTGGTGCAACCCATGCTCCAGAGGCCATGTGAGGTGAGGCCAGAATCATCCCCCGCTGAGTCTACATCCTTGCCTGACTCATTCCCTCATCCCATCCTGCTGCCCTCTCCTCCTGTCTCCTAAGAGCACCCTCTCAGTAAGTCACTGCACAAGGTTCCCTATCTTCAGCTCTGTTTCTTGGGAATCCAACCTAAGACAGAGCTCCCCACCCATAGAAGCAGGTCAGGTGGGAGCCATTCACAACACACTGACAGCTCTCTTCAAAAAACCTCTTCTGATTTACACCTGGCTACATCCACCTCAATGTGCCCTTCAGGAGCCCCAAGTGGTGAGTGTCAGAGGTCCCCAAGTGGGTTTTTGCCACCAACTTGTTAAGTCTAACACAGATGCCTTATTTTGGAATACAGGAGATATTACAGTGTATTTGCCTGGAAATAGGAATGAAATATTTCCCTTTGACTTCCTGCAATTATATGAGGCACCTATAAAATTGCAGGCACATGATAGGAGCCTTCTGAATGACAGCTATTATTTTGGTTCCTTAAATAATGTATTAAAAACTCGCACACCACTTGCCAGCCTCTGTCATTAGTATTTTCTCACTCCGTCACAGTATAGTTAAGCTCCATTTTATTGATCCTCATTCATAAAACTGAAGCCCAGAAAACATTCACTGCCTGGGCTAGGTTCAAAGCCAGATTTTCACCTCACTTTGGTGTGTATGTGTGGAAACTGGGCTAATGGTCTTTATTATTTTTTTTTTAAATTTTTATTTGTTCTTTTTAGTTGTATATGACATTAGAATCTATTTTGATATCATTATACAAACATGGAATATATCTTACTCTAATGAAGATCCCAGTCTTGTGGATGTCCATGAGGTTGAGATACACTGTTTACATTTTTTTCCCCCACACTCCCACCATCACCCGGCCTGAGCCCTTGCTCCTGGTTTGGTGTTCCCGTGACCTCAGGCAGCAGTGACGTAAGTTGCAGGGTTTCGCTTCTTTCCTGTTGACACTAGTCTTTTGCTTCTTCTTCCTGGGACCTCAGATCTGTGTGACTTCAGAAGAAGAACAAGACGGCTTTATCAGAGTGCTCAGTGGAAAGAAGAGAGGCCTTGTCCCCCTCGATGTCCTGGAAAATGTCTGATTGCTGACCCCTCCTCCTTGTGCAGCAGGCCAGCTCTGCTGCAGTGCCGTCTGCTCATCTCACTGTGTCCACCCAGAGGAGCTGTCGCACTGACCCGGCCCCCCCGGAAACAGGGAGACAAGACTGGAGGATCTGAGACTGTGGAGCAGCAGCCACGCGGCAGAGGGCCCATCACAAAGCGCATCCTGGCTGCTAGAGGTGGGGATGAGGCTGAGATTTGGCCAGCATACCTGGGGGGCAGCAGGGCCCTAGGCCACAGCTGCCCCAGGACTCAGCTCCTTCCCTGCCCGGGTGGTGTAAGTCAACCGGCTGGAGGGTGTTCCAGTCTATGGTGTGGCCCCAGCATGAGGTTCAGTTCTGTGTAACCAAGTGTTGTTCTGGTTCCAGACCTTTGTCCCCAGTACTGCCCAATCAGCATCATCACACTTCAGACTCCAAGCAGTCAGTCTCTCTGCGGAGACTCCAGCTCCCAGCTGGTTACCAATAGAGGTAACCAGATCTGAGGCACAGATAGAAGCAGCGAGGAGCATTGGGGATAGGGGGGACACAAATCCCTTATTTATTGAGGATGACACAGTCCTTTCAGTTATGAAGTCCTTTCCCAAAGGATAGGGAGCTGGGAGAGAGAATGTGGAGAAAAGCATCCATTTTCATTTTATAGCCTCTATATTGGGGACAGCATTTTCCCCTTATGCCATCCTGTAGGAATCTATTTTGGAGGTGGAGCTCATCTTTCAGGGAACCAGGAACAGGGAGGGGAACCAATAACAGCATATTAGAAGAAATCGGAACGCATTTTTTCTTAGGTCAGTATATCATACCCCAGCAGGCATACAATAGAAAGGAATCCTTAATGCTTCATCCCTCTGAAAGCAGAGGAATTGGGGGCCTATTTAGCATCATCAAGGGGAGTCCAGAATCTCTATTACTCTGTACTTGTACTAATGTTTACAAGAATACAATATACTGTGATGCCTTCCTCCTCAAGCCTCCTCCTAGCATTCACACTTGCATCCTAGAAATCATTCACACGGTTAAACTTCAATTCACAATGACCTTGGAATCAATGTCAGTTTGGTTTATTTTGTTACAGAGCAATAAAATCATTAGAATAATTGGTTTTTAAAAGACTTAAGTGGATGCATCCTGTGCATGTAAGCATTATTTCTCAAACCAAAGCATCATTAGTCTCCATTTATTTCTTCTGCTACTGCTCAGCATGAAGTTGGGAGCTGAGATGGGGTGGCTGCTGGTTTCACAGTAGTTTGGATGCCTTACTCTCATTTTAAAGCCAGCATCCAGAGTTTTCTCCCTTTCTGAAACAACAGGCAAACCCAGGTGGATAGAGTCAAGATGGATTCTTTGAGAGCCCACGCGGATAACACAACTGCCTTTCTGTAACAGTGAATGCCGAGTATCAATGCTCTTTGCCTCTAATCGAATTTTCCATATAATAAAGACAACACAGTGGCTGGAAGGAGCAAGAAAACATGTGTCCTGATCTCTTCTTTCTGAGCCATATCCAGGGACTTATCTTTAGTACAGTGGTGTTCAATTTGCATTTTTAAAACATCAGTCTGCCTTTTCAAGTTGAATGGAAGGAGACTGTAGTATCCAGCCTCCAAGATGGTTCCCCATGATACCTACCTCCTGATGTTCTTCCTTTTGTGTAGCCTCTTCCCAGATTGAATCAGGGCTGGTCTCAGGTGGCCAATGAAATACAGTCTAGGTGATACTACATGACTTCTGTGTGAGGTCAAAAACAATCTTTGCGACTTCTGCCTTGATCTTCTAGAACACTCGCTGTGAAAATCCTGAGACCCCATGTAAGTTTACCTACCCTGAGGCCATATGCAAGAGAGACCCAGAGAAGACAGCACACCTTTCAACAGCTAAGGTCCCAGACATCATATAGTAACTATGAATCATCTTTGCTGAACCCGGCACACACTACAGAGTTATGAGCAAGATAAATAGGGAGGATATTTTTTTTGTTTAGTCACCAAGTTTTAGAGTTATTGTCAAACAGAGACAGTGGAATGAATCTGACACAACTTTCCTATGTGCATATATAAATATATCACAGCGAATCTCAACATGATGTACATCCCCATGACTGGGATTATAATTAGAATAAAATATATGCCATGTTTGTATAAATATGTGAAAATAGACTCTACTGTCATGTATAAGTAAGAAGAACAAATAAATTTTTTTTTAAAAAAAAAGGTCACTAGAACAGGACTTTGTCATTTGAGTCAAAGACACAATGAGACCCCAAATCTTTGCAATCATCAAGTATTGGCAAGCAGTTAACTCTCTGAATGCGAGATGTCTAGTGTTCCCTAAAGATGGCCATGGATGGTTCTCACACACACAGATTTTAGCAATCAGAATTCCCCTATGCATCTCCAGAAATGACAAGAACAAAGATAGTTATGACCTACCAGAGCCTTAAGATTTCCAAGACTCAAGAAGTGGCTAGGGCTGGAGATGTGGCTCAAGCGGTAACATGCTCACCTGGCATGCGTGGGGCGCTGGGTTCCATCCTCAGCACCACACAAAAATAAAGATGTTGTGTCCACCGAAAACTAAAAAATAAATATTAAAAAAATCTCTCTCCTCCCTCTCTCTCTCTCTCTCTCTTAAAAAAAAAAAAAAGAAGTAGCTAGAATGGAGATGAGGTGAGGACCCCAAGAGTAACCACTGATGAGAGGACAGGGAAGAAGGGAAAAGAATTTAAAGAAAAAAAAGTGGGTCTGGGAATATTAGGTAGAGTGTGAAGGAAGATCCTTGTGCTTCCTCTTCTCCTGCCCCTGCCACCAGCCAAGGGATGTCACATACCTAACTGTACCAGGGAAGCTATGCCCTACATTGACCACTAATGCTGAAGGACTTACTTCTGTCATGGAAAATTTGAAATGAAAATTGATTGAATATTCCTCAGGGCTCCAAAAATTCAGAATAGAACTTCCTTCACCCCATCACTAGCAGGTTATCTGTGGCACCCTAATGTGGGCAGTAGGACTGCAAAGAAAGCCCATATGGCTGCCAGTAGTGTTGACCTCACAGACTATTCTTCCTTCCCAACTATACACCCAATGCATGCATGCCCACATCCCCCACTCACCCACTCCCAGAAGAATTCAAAATCTGGGTTACATATTTAAAGCTACAAGTAGAATAATAAATGATACATGCTAAGAGCGTACTTGAGTTAATACTCTTTGTTATTAAAGGGAAGACTTTTGATGGGAAGATCACACATGCAGATAGTCTGGTAAAAAAAAAAAAAAAAAAAAAAAGAAAAAGAAAAAAAGAAAAATCACCCCTGATGTCCAAAAACTGGTTCAAGTGTCTAGCTGCTTCAAAGAGAAGAGACACAGGAAGGCAATCTACTGGCCTGCCCTTAACTACAGTGCCTCCAGGCAGGTCCAGGCAAAAAAAAAAAAAAAACCTCTGTAAACCACATGTTCCAACAGAAGCTTTTATTTAAGTTACCTGACTTCTTTACTCAGAACTTCTCAGAGTCTTTCATTTGCTAATTCTCATGATGAATATTCCAAAAAGTGGATTTAGAACTATGGAGAACTATTTAGCCCCTTCTAGAACAAAGTTCCAGGAAATATAGTTGGGAAAGCTCTGCAGTAGAGAGTTCTCCTATTATATAGAATCGTAATAATCTCAAGGCTCCTAATAACCTCTCTTTTCCTACATTTCACTGGGATCCTTATGAAGTACTGAAAGGTCCAAATGTACACGATCATATTGATAACTAAGCCTGAAAGAAAATCTGCTCTGGAACCTGAGATTATAAGGGAGTAAGAGAAAGTGGGAATCTATATATTCCAGGGTTAGAAAACGTGGGAAGAAGAGTAGTTTTGCTGTGGTCTGAAAGCTTTAGCACATGCTGACAGGCAAGCAGGGACGAGGCTGGTATAGATCTGGGAATAAAAGTTCAACATTCCCCAAAATAGCATCCCCAGGAAACTCAGTGAGCAGGTGTGCTTCACAAATTTATCACAAAACAAAAACCCTTAAAAATAACTTGGATAGAAAATCAAAACTAGTAAATGACACCCTCTAACCATCACTGAGATTTTTCTCAGTTGCCATTCTGTTGTGTTTTGTTCAACACCTGGTGTTTTTGACCCTTGGAATGTATTATGTCTTAGCTTCCAATATGGCATTTTAAATAGTCTTCAATCTTTCTGGTGGGTAATACAAACTTCTAATCTATCTTGAAAGTTTAATAAGATAATGGCTATTTATTTTAATAGTTCCCTTTTAAAATTGAAAGACTGGTAGAGATTTTTATCATCTTGTCAAATTTAAATAGCTGTTGAGCACCTTCCATGTCTTCATGGAAATCTGGATGTACTGCAGCCTTGAAAATGCAGCCTGGAAAAGTAAAAGACCTATTTTCAAGAGCAATGGTGGTCGTGTTTAGAATCGCTCCATTCGCGTCACTCAGGCTCTGGGGTTACTCTCCTAATTTCATCTTTTTCTATACATGGGAGAAATTTTTCTTCCTTCTACAGCTTCTCAAAACCTATGTACTTATTTTATTAACCCTTATTTTCATTGAAGTAAAAAAAAAAAATCTGAGGTTACACATCTTCCTCTGAGTTTAGCTTTAACCACATTGAGTAGCTATTTTTTTATTTGCATTCATTTCTAAATGCTCTGTAATTACACTTTTGATTTTTCTCTTTGGCTTTTTATTTCATGTATGTGCACATAAATAATCCATTCATTTTACATCATGGCCAGAAAATATGGTCTGTATGGTTTCCACTTTGAGAAATTAATTGGCATTTTAATTTGTGCTAATAATATATGACTAATTTCTATAAATGTTCAATGGATGTTGGAGGAAAAGTCATGTCTATAGTGTGTGTGTGTGTGTGTGTGTGTGTGTGTGTGTGTGTAAAATAAATCTTTAAAGTAATCGGGTTATCTGTATTCTTATTTGCTTCTGTTCATGTACTCTATCAAAGACAAAGAAGTCAAGACCAAGCAACAGTATGGCTGAAATGAAAGACACTTTGCAAGGAACTGCAATCAATTCCTCCTTGTCAGCCTTGGAGGAAAGATATGACAACCAGTGCTCTCCACCACAGCCACACCTTCTAATTTTGGACCAAATTCCTTAGATCATGTCCTAAGTATATATTCTCTTGGACTTCCTGGAGCATATTATAAAGGAATCATTTTTAAGTGAAGAGGTTCCAAAGATATTCTTAGAAAACTTTAATGTTGAATGTAGAGAATTTGAGTCAGAGTTACAGTAGATGGGGTAAAGAGAGAAGATGGGAGGGGAGGGGATGGGAAGGGGAATAGGAAGGGGATAGGAAAGGCAGCAGAATACAACAGAAACTAGTATGGCAGTATGTATAAACGTGGCTGTATAACCAATGTGATCCTGCAATCTGTACACGTGGGAATAATAAGAATTCATACCCCATTTGAATCAAATGTATGATATATGATATGTCAAGATCATTGTAATGTTTTGAGCAACCAATAAAAAAAAATAACACTTGCTGCATGGTAGGAATCCACTTGTTCCTGACAAGAATACTGAGATCTAAGTCTTACTGGCCCCATTTTACACATGAAGAAACTGAGAGCCAGAAAGATAAGGTCACTTGCCCCAGATCATATCCCTGATAGAAGGTAGAACCAGATTTTGAACCTATAACAAGTATGATGCCTTACTATATAGACCACTGTAATTATTGTCATGATGGGAGCAATGGTCTCAAAACACTAGAATTATAGATGATTGGCGTAAAAAGCAAGCAGTGATATAGAAATGGTACCAGAAGAGTTTGCATTATACTTGTGGAGTTTCCTGTGATCTATGAAAAGTACCCTCTGCCCTACATACTCAGAAATCTGATGTAATCATACACTGAGGAAAACTCCATTGTTCAGAGTAGGACTTTATATTCAACAATCTCAAAAAAGTCACATAATCCCAGGATGATAACTTATGAACTGATATTGACAGTCACCATGTTGATAGGCAAACTTGATTGGACGTGATAAACTTACTCTTCCTGAGGACAACTGCATTCCTTTGTCATGGGAAAAGCAATCCATGGGAATTAGAGGTGGTTTGATAGTATCGTACGGACACAGCCTGAGAGAGCCAATGCCCAGTGGGATTAACCACATTGGATAGCTGTTGGACAAGACTTCTCCTTATCCAGGGCCTAAGTGGCCAGTGTTCACACTTGCACCGGTGACCTCACCTCATCTATAGCTGAATAGCCACCCCGTTCTTTACTTTCAAGTAAGTCTGGCCCTAGCCAAGAAGTGTCTCTTTTCAAAGTGAGTTTCAGGATCTCTGATTTGATCCATTCTGTGCTAATTGTACAGTTCAACTTTCAAAGGAAAGTACGTTCTCATTTCCAAGTCCTGAAAGATCAGGGCTCCAGTGAACACCAACTGAAATAAGGGTGAAAAATCACAGAAGGAGCT